GGATCTGGAGAGGATGGGAGGAGAGCAAGGCAGAAGAATAGACAGCGCTCTGTGGATGTGTATCAGCTGTTTCCATTCGTTCATTTGGTACTGATGTGCCTTAGAACCCTGTTGTACCGTCTGACTTCAGGATCAACATCAGTATAGACTGTCAGCTGAACAACAACATATTAACTTGTAATGAATGTGCCGAGTTCTGAAATTGTTGCAGTACTTAGTCACCTGCCTCTGTGTTGGGTGAGCTGTGGGTCAGAGCCAGGGCTCAAGAGCCTCGCATTGTTACCATCCACATCTCATGCAGATAAGTCAGGTTTAGGCTCATTATACTGTCTGTCCCCTGTCCTGTGCACCCACCCCCCCCATAATCAAACCTAAACCCCCAAACAAATCAAAACAAACAAAACCCCCATGAAACATAATCCAAAACAACAATTCACAGAGAAGTTGCAGCGCCTGCAAGCAGAAATACTGTCCAGAAATAATTAAACAGAGCTTTTCACCTTTCTTTTTAGTGCTATCTCAGAAATTATTGTATATGTCTTGAGGAAAACGTGATATTTCCTTATAGAGGTATTTTTACTTGGCACACCAAACTCTGTTAAGTCTTTAAAGATATTTTGTGATATTTACTTTTTTAAGCATCATCTTTGTGTTTATGTGTGCAAATGTGTATGCAAATGTGCTTTAAACCACCACCAAAATTGACTGTACAGAAGATTTAATGTAGAGAGTTTCTTAAAAATACAAAAGCCATGGGTGGTCTGAAAAAATGGTTTTGTTGATAGAAATGAATTATTAATAAAACTACTTCATTATACTTGGTTTATAGGTTTGTGATGTGATTGTTTCTGGAGGCAAAGGGTGTCTGAGTGAATTGGAGAACTGCTGCAAAAAAGTTGCTGCCTTCAAAATGGCTTGTCCAATTTTAGCCATATTTGACAGAGGTGGGAGTCTTGAATCCCTAAGTTAGTGTTGGTTTCCTGAAAAATCATTGACCTTGGGGAGAAAGAGATCAAGTTGCTGTAGCTGTTGAGGAAAAGGTTTCTGTGCAGGTTCAGCGGCTATTTTTTTACAGCCAATAATGAGTTTCTTCAACCTTTTTCTCCTCTTGTAATTATGGTGGTAGGAAGCAGGTATATTGTAGGGGATGTGTGTTGCTTTAAGAGAAATGGGAAGGAGTTAACTATCCTCTGAGATGATTTCACAAAGGAGGGGAAGGCGAGGTGTGCAGTGATGACAATCTATGTGGCATCCTTCCTACACTGGCACTGCTCTCCCTGTGACTGTGATGTAGGTGTGTGGAGGCTATGTATGGCTGAGGGCTTTATGTTGCTTTGAGTCTGTCTTCCAGTGTAGCAAATGATTTTAAGTTTACTTAAACAGGTTTTCAAACAAGAAAGCAAATCCTTTTTTAAGCTTTGCATGGGTGAGAAGGAAGGGTAACCAGCCTGTGCAGTACGCCAAGTCATATCAAAGTTGCTTTTGGGCTCCATGCTTTATGTGATAGAAATATTTTTATATTCATTGTGCCAACAGATTCTTTGTGTTTGATAGTTGCTCTTAGAAAAACTGCTGCTATTATCAGAAACAAATAGGTCAGAACCAATTACAGATGTTGACACAGTCATGGCTGCCAGCCTTGACTGACTTGATGTGGCTTACACAATGATATTATCAACAGTGGAAAAATTGCAGTGGTTGTTTGCTCAGTTGCACCAAAAGTCAATGCCCTGATATTTCTAAAACTTGTTAATGACTGTCTAACCTCTCTCAGAGACATTTCTTTCTATTGTGTTGTAATTTTATCTATAGTTGTATAAAGGATATTGGAGTTGCACTGTTAGAAATATTAAATGTAGTTCCTTTTGGGTATTTAATTTTTCTTATTTGAAAAAGCTTTGTGAAGCATGAAAATGTATGGCATTATTTTTCTTAGAAATCCTCAGGAACTGGTATAAAATCAACCTGTTCATTGAAGCTTTGAACTATAGAGTATAACACATACCCAGACTTATTAAATACAGTGTCTTTAAAGTAAGGCACGAGTAAATACGTGTACATCCACACACGAGTCAGGAAAGGCTGAATAAACAAGTATCAGTGCAGAACTAAGTCTTTTGGAGGGTTATCTCTTCTTTCCAAGAATTGTCTTGGAAGATGGCAGCATTGATAGGGCTTTTGTGGAGGGAGTATTTGTGAGTTTCGTACAAACAACTGTTATGGTCAGGTAATCTAATCTCTGCTTTGGTGGGGAACAATGTGTAATAAAGTGTCACAAGCTATTCTAATGCTTAGGCATTTCATAAAGACAGTTTTATTTTCATCTACTGCACAGTTTCAGTTTCCATTCTATCTTTTGGACATTGTCTTTTCCTTTGCCTTTCTTATCTGTGCAAGTGCTGTGAACAAATGTCTTGTCTTTAAAACAAAGAGAAAGATAAGGATCAACTTTAATCTTTCATTACAAAAACTCCCTACAGATTAATAATTCTTTTAATGAATACAGGGTGCAATAATGTTGATACTGATAATGTTATGATAAGTGTGATATTTTTATCAGAAATATACCCCTTAATCACCCTTTTTTTTCCTGAGAGATTGATTTTGGCAGAAAGCTTGATGCATAGTGTGGTGTTTGGGGGCTAAACTACCACTCCTCCTCCTCCTTGCCACTGGTAAAGCCACACCTGGGTGCTGGTCCACTTCTGGGCTCCCCAGTACGAGAGAGACTTGGACATGGTGGAGAGAGTCAGGCGGAGGGACACAGAGATGGTGAAGGGACTGGAGCATCTCTCCTGTGAGAAAAAGCTGAGAGAGCTGGGACTGTTCAGCCTGGGGAGGAGGAGGCTCAGGGGGATCTCATCAATGGATGTAGATACATGAAGGGAGGATGCAATGAGGACAGAGCCGAGCTCTTGCCAGTGGTGCCTAGGGACAGAACCAGAGGAAATGGGCAGACACTGAAGCACAGTGTCTGTGCAACAGAGGTGCAAACATCAGGAAACACCTTTTCACTGTGAGAGTGACCAAGCGCTGGCACAGGTTGCCCAGGGAAGTTGTAGAGTTTCCATCCTTGGAGATATTCAAAAGCTAAGTGGACACAGGCCTGTGCAACCTGCTGTAGGTAGCCCTGCTTGAGCCAGGGTGGTGGAACCAGGCAACCTCTGGAGGTCCCCGCTGACCTCAGCCACTCTATGACTGTGAACCTGTGTGTGCAAAGAAGAGATCTTCTTGTGTGATTTTTACCAATTACTCATGATCCTGGAATAGTTCAGATAGAATGTTTGGAAAACTCGCTTAATATTTTGAAGTTACTTTTGTTAACTTTTTTCAAAGACTTTTGCCTAATTTGTTAGGAATTTATGGCTTTACAGAATAACACAGGTATTCCCTTGCATGTTAAAAACTCGGTGCATTTATGTAAAAACAACATAGAATCATAGAATCATAGAATGGTTTGGGTTGGAAAGGACCTTAAGATCATCTAGTTCCAACCCCCCTCCCATGAGCAGGGACACCACACACTAAACTATGTCGCCCAAGGCTCGGTCCCACCTGGCCTTAAACACTGCCAGGGTTGGAGCATTCACAACTTCCTTGGGCAACCTATTCCAGTGCCTCACCACCCTCACTGTGAAGAACTTCTTCCTTATAGCTAACCTAAAGTTCCCCTGTTTAAGTTTAAACCCATTCCCCCTTGTCCTACCACTAGAGTCCCTAATGAAGAGTCCAAAACTGTTTGTAAACATAGGATGCTGAGTATGAGGTGGAGCTGAAAACATGATCTTTTACCAGCTAATGTTAAAAGGTCAAATGTAGTGTAGTATGGCCCATTGACCTTTTCTTAGCTGGGCTTGAGTGTGGCATATTTGTTTACATACTCCTATTTTCAAAGGGAATCAGTTAGATGAAAGGTTATTAAACACAAAAGCATTCGGATTTTTTGGCAAAATGTTTTAACAAGGCTTTTTTTAATTCCTTCTTCCTTCATTTCTTCCACTGGCTGCTTCCTGCCTTAATTAATAGTTTGAAATGTAGGCACTGTACTAATTTAACCGCTATTAATATGTTAATATCTGAGTAACCTGTTTGTGAAATATTTGAGTTTGGTTTAATGTTAATACGTTCATATCTGAAAGGACTTGCATATTATAGTAAAATATCTGGAAAGGATTCTGTAATTTTCACCCAAACTTTCCTTTGATTTTACAGAATGTCCAGTGAGAGAGAATGTATGTGGCTTTGTAGAAAGACAATAACTCTAAATCTGAAGGCTTTTTATATATTTTTTTGTTATTTTCTCTATTTTGTATTTTTTCTGAACTAACTCTGGTCAACTGATGACATGAAAGAAAACTTAAAATTAACCTTCAGGGTAGGAATGTTTCATCGAGGCTGAAAGTGTTCTTTCTTTTTTTCACATTGAAACTAATGGCAGCAACATCAAAGATTAACTAAAACTACTGGTATTTGCTGCCATTAAAACAAACTTGCCACTCTCCCTTGTTTGTTTTTCTCCTTTTGACTTAGTTTGAGTCCACTGTTTTCATTAATGTGTTTTATAATCAGTGGAGTTCTGGCGCTGGTTTTTTGTTTTCTCAAAAAACTATTGACCAGTATGTGTGACATTTTCTTGCATTTTATAGCACAATTATTCGTATTCAGAACACTGCTATGGTAATAACTATAGGTTGCTTAATTTATGAGACAAATGACAATGCTGTATAAGTCTCATGAGGTTCTCATGAGACAATAACAGATCATATCTGCGCCACTTGTGTTTTACTAGGAAAGATGGCCAAACCCAAGCCTTTGGATGTCCTGTAGCTGCAGGTTTGTAGTTTGTTTTCTTAGAGGAGAACCCCCAAATTTACTAAAGCAGCAATGAAACAAAGTGTATATATAGTTCATCATTTTGCAAGTAGTGGGAGTGTTTCTACATTCCCTGTCAGCCTTTGTGGGGAAGGTGAAAGTAAAGTTCTGTCTTTTTCTGTTAACAGCTTAAAATGACCGTGTGAATTCAGTGGAATAAATGGCGTCCAAAGTAACTGATGCTATAGTTTGGTACCAGAAGAAGGTAAGCTTGCTGTTTGTTTTTATGGTGGCTTTACAAAAAAGTTGGTTTACAGGGTTTACGTGTACAGTGCAATAAATATAGAGTACTACTTACTGGTTAGCATTGTATGAGAGTGAGGAGCTTGAGACTTTCCTTCCAAAAGTAAAAGTAACCCAGTATTAACTGACTATTTCTAATGAAATGGAATAGCTTCTGGTCCATGTTGAAAACTCCTCACAACCTTGGCTACTTGTGCTATGGAAAGAAAAAAAGGAAAGAAAATTTCCTTCTGAGTAGAATGTTAATTAATGTACAGGAGGATTTGTTTCTATAGCACATTAATGAGTCCTTGTCTTTAAGTAGAAAGTGAGAATTGAAATGCGCTTTCTTTCAGTAACATGGAGCTGTGTAATCCATACCTAAAAGAGAAAGGCTAGGGCTTCTTAGAAGTTAATTAGACAAAGAAAATAATAGTTAAAGTATTGCCTGCACATGGAAATGCTGATGTCTCTTTTTAATTTATTATATTGACGATTTCAAATCATCATCTGTGCTTGACATTAGTGTGCCAGTTGGCTTATTCAGTTATCCTGCTTTTTAAAAGCTGCAGATTTTGCTAAATTTTGAGATGTGCTTCTTTATCAAGATAGAAGGCGTGTTCTTAATTTATTTTAATTTTTTTCAAATATATACATGTCTTTATTCCTGACAGTCATGCAGGAAAAGGAATGCCGTATGTGATATGCTCAAGGTTTCCATCCTCCTGATGTTGGGAAGGCAGGACCTTCTGCAGATGAGTCACTGTGCTGTGATCTTACAAAGGGCAGGCCCTCTGCTCTTGATATAAACAACCCATTCCTCAATTTTACTTTTCCCAGGACACTGCTCCTAACAGGATTACTCATTATCAGTACAGGTCATTCTTTTAACCCTTGTTCTCTTGCCTTTTCAAGTGATTTCACTCACGTTTCCATTTATCTCATTCATAGCAACAATATTTCTGCCACAAGTCTCTGTAGCCTTTTACAGAGGTCTGCTTGGCCAGGAATGGCGTGCTGCCTTTATGGCAAGCAGTTGGGATGAAGTGACTCCTGCTACTTCATGAAAGACCGGGCTGTCTTCAGAGGGGATGAGATCTTGCATAAACCAGATGTCAGTGTTTTCCATGACGGGAACAAAAGTTAATAGCAATCCACATGTGGACTGGGGTCTGCCAAATGAGCAGGCTTTGCTTCTTTCCGTGTGTGGAAGTAGAGTTTTGTTTTGGGACAAATGGCTGCTCTGAAACATTTATTTCAGAGTTGTCCTGCTTACTTTGCTTTCTAGATCTGCTGATAGCCCACAACAGTAACTGAAATTGAAAATGGGGAGGGATCAAAATTCAGCATATTCTAGCAGTAAAGCATTGTTTTGAGGGCAAGAGAGAACCAGGGTTGTGGTCAGTACTGATCAATTGATATGAATTGCCTATATGATAAAATGAGGAAAATACAGTGTTCATTTGGGGAGGCATTTGCAGGTTAATGAACTGGTGTATGAATGCTTTGGAAAAAAGAGGATGAAGAACTTCTGATATTTACAGTCATACATAAAGAAGACAAATGTATTTGAGTAGGTGGAGGCTGTGTAAGAAATACTGAACATGTAACTTGCTCCTTTTGTTTCTTTGTTTTCAATTTTAATGTAGTTTTTTATGTATTTTTTCGATGTATTTTTTTCCATGTCTCTACTGAGTTTCAGAAGTCTGTTGGTTTCTCAAAAGTAAGGCATTTTTATATTTCTTTAGTGGAGAGTGTTAAGCAATTGAGCTCTTCCAACCCTACTTTATGCAAGTTTTCCAGACACCAAGTTTACTCATATGACTCATACTATTGTCTGAAATTGAGCTTCTCACACGAGGACGATTTAGTAATGCACTTTAATTGTTTAAAAGGTCAGACCTTTTATTATGTAAGCTTGGTTTTTATTGTTGCAATAGACTTAGTCTGCTTTTAATGCATGGGAGCTCTCAATTACTGTCTTGTAAACACACAGTAATAAATTATTAGTTGTTTTAAGTTGGTTTTTAAGATTTCAGATAGTGTATTATGCCAGCTTGTTATCTGAGATACAAGATTGCATGGACATAGCTTTACTGCTTCCAGTGAGAGCTTGCCTTTCCCAGCTGGTACGAATACTCTTGCAAGGCATGAAGTCTGAACAGATAAATCCTGCTAGATACGGGTTGGCTCTGTGGAAAGCAAAATGAATTAAGCCTCTGCTGTGTTCTTGGGTGCCCTGGGGAGCGCACTGCTGAGGCACTTGCGTGTCAGAGAGGGTTTGTCCAGCTTGTTTTCAATGCTGAGTGCTGCACTGGTTCTTGCAATAAAGGGGTGTGGCAGGGCTGTCTGCGCTGCGCTCTGCAGTGGTTCATTACTTTGGTCCCAGGCAGCTGCTGAGCTAACATTCACATATATAGAATCATAGAATGGTTTGGGTTGGAAAGGACCTTAAGATCATCTAGTTCCAACCCCCCTGCCATGAGCAGGGACACCACACACTAAACTATGTCGCCCAAGGCTCTGTCCAATTTGGCCTTGAACCCCTCCAGGGTTGGAGCATTCACAACTTCCTTGGGCAACCTATTCCAGTGCCTCAGCATCCTCACTGTGAATATGTGCACTTCATTAGTTAGTATGGAATCACAGAATCATAGAATCATTGAGGTTGGAAAAGACCTTGAAGATGGAGTCCAACTGTTAACCCAGCACTGCCAAGCCCACCACTAAACCATGTCCCTAAGCACCACATCTACACATCTTTAAATACCTCTGGGGATGGCGACTCAACCACTTCCCTGCACAGCCTGTTCCAATGCTTGACAACCCTTGTGGTGAATAATTTTTTCCTAATATCCAATCTAAACCTCTCATGTGGCAGCTTGAGGCTGTTTCCTCTCATCCTATCACTTGTGGTGGGAGAAGAGACCGACCCCCACCTCACTACAACCTCCTTTCAGGTAGTTGTAGAGAGTAAGAAGGTCTCCCCTGAGCCTCCTTTTCTCCAGGCCTCCAGTGTAGCGGCTGTATGTAAGTTTACCTTAACAACTTTCTGATTTCCAATCTTCAAGCCTTGCTGCTAAAATGGGGAGCTTTATACAAATATGTTGATAATATGGCAGGAAATAATTATGATTTACTTTCTCTTGGGGATGGTTATAGGGGAAGGCAGAATGGAACTTAATGAATTGAACTCATATCCTGCACCTGATTGTGCATCAGTTAACTCTGCCAATGCAGCTTTCAGCTGGTTTGGGTGTCCCTTGGGTATTGCTGTTAAAGGGCACAATGAAGCAACTGAGATGTTTTCTCTCTCATGGCTTTAAAGGGCAGAATTAGAGTTCTAATTGCATTGCTTTAAGATCTGTAATATTCAGTGTTTTACAGCTCATTCATCCAAGATTATACTTGCCAAGTTAATAAAGGAGGAAACAAAACAAAAATCATGTCATTTCCTGAAACCACCTGATTTCCTCTTGGCACTGAATTCATGTGATGCATTGGTGACCCTGGCGCCAAAGACAGCTCTTGTCAAATGGCTGGGCTGTGTGGCTCTTCTACCTAGAACTATGGATGCTGAAACTGCATCAGTTCAGTAAGGTCCACCTTAAACTGCCAAAACTTGACAAGTGTTGGAGCTGGCTATTTGTGAAAGCACTGAGGACAATAAAATTATATTTAGAAGGGTTTCCTCATATGGAGTGCTGGGATTGGTACTGAAATTGTCATCTGACTAAATATTGGGGATTGCCTTCAGCACCTCGTTTTGGTGAGACAAAACTCAAGTTTCTGAATCCTTTGTGCAGAAGATCACTCAAAAATTGACTCTGTGGCTGAATAAAGCAGGCTTGAATCTTGCGTGGCTGTTGACTCCCATGCCTGCTTTGCCTTCCCACAGATGTCCAAATTCAGTAGTTTAGTCCAGTTAAAAATAAGGAACTGAACCTATCTAATAGGTGGAGGGACAGAGCAAAGAGCTGAAATCCCTCTGTCTTGAGAGGGTTTTTCTGATTCTTTAATTGTTTCATTATGCCTTGTGAAACTATAACCTTCCATTTTCTTTTCTATTCCTGGTTTATCTTTCAGCCATGCAGATGAATGCACTGGCACAACGTAAGTGTGCCATGGGAAGTGGAAGTGATGAGGGGTGTAAGGGCAGTGCTGTTTTAAAATCCCAGTCGCTGTATTTTCAGTGGTCTTCAGGGAATTACACTGAGTAATGAGGCTGTCAGAGTGGTTTCCTTTACCCAGTTATGTCTTAAGGCTGCTTTGTTTTGTGCACAAACATAATTGTGTAAAAAATAAAGTGTTGCAGAGGTGTTAAATCCTGAATGCTTGGAGAGTAACTGGGCTGTGATGTACAAAGAGTCTGAGAGATCTTGGTTTGCTCAGTCTTAAGAAGACAGGGCAAAGGAGAGAGTTTACTGCTTTAGCAGCTAATGCTTGGGAGGCCATGGAGAAGATGGTGCCAGGCTCTCCTCAGAGGGGCAGAGAGACTGCATGAGAGGCAACAACCACAAGTTGAAATGTGGAAAATTCTGGTTAGATATAAGGATAAAAATGTTTAATATGAAGTTTGCCAAGCATTGAGACAGGACCCCAGAAAGGTTGTGAAATGTCCAATCTTCAGAGATGTTTGGATCTCTATTGGGTAAGCCCTTGAGCAACCTGCTGTAACTAGACCTGCTTTGCACAGGAAGTTGGGTTAGATGACCCCCAGAGGTTCCAACCTGTGTGATTCTGTGATGACCTTAGATTGAAATTTGAAGATGTGTAAATGTTGTCGTAAAGGATTGTGCTTAATGACATTAATGACAGAGATGGAATCTCATTCAGTTGGTGCTTCTTTTTAGGTTATGCTCTACAGCTCACTTAAGCTAATGAAATGGTACCTGAAGTTATCCCTGGTGTTCAGTTCATCTCACTAGGAAATGGCTTAGAGTAGGTGATGTTTATTCCTGTACTGTCATTTAGTTTAACCTG